ATTAATCTTTGATCTTGGACATATATGAGTTTATCTTTGATCGCATTATTTTCTGTGCAGTTGAGAAAGCGTTTTACTTACTTCCTGACTTTTAGGGACGTGGTGGAGTGGGGGGAAGTCAACAGTTTTTGCCTGCCGGCCAAGTCACTAAAATGTTTTTATGTAAATAAACAAAAGTTTGGTTTGGTTTTCCCTCCGCCTTTGTTGTTGTTGCCTCGGATGCTCCTTTTTGGATGTCGACCGCCGTCGTTGTTGGGCTTTTTTATGGATTGTTTTTTGTTTATAGACAACTACATTCGGGGGTGTGTGCGTGTGTGAGCGAGTTGCTTTTTATGTGCCTTGCGCATCTTCGGCTGAAAAAATATAAAAGCAAAATATTTATGCGACCGATGTGAGGCACAGCCCGTCCGTCCGTCCGTCAGTCAGTCGGTCCGGTATTGGATCCGTACAGGGGTGGCAACGGGGCGGATGAGTGAGCGAGATGTCCATAGTAGCGATCGGTTTTCTGCTACCCCTTTTTTCACGCCTCCGAGCAATTACTTCGAGTCGAATACCCTTAAAGTGCTACTGAAATATTCGGGTATACTCCTAAGAAATAAAAGGAACGCATCAAAAATATGAACTGGAGTAACAAGTATTTGTAAAGAATTAAGAAATTAAAACAATAATTGGTAGGGAAGTTTTTTAAAAAGCATAAAGATAATTGTTCAATATTATTTTAGAATGTCTGCGGATCAATAAGGGCCATTTTTATCCAAATTTATTAGAGCTCAAATACTAAGTTAATAAGGATTAAATATTAAATTAAGTGTAACTTAAAATAAAATAAGAATAATGTGGCATTAAAAAATATAATACATTTTTTTTATATTTGATCTGAAAGCCTTTTAGAGAGCAACTTGTAGTCGGATGACTTTAGGTTGAAATACTATTCACTTGTCTTTTTATGAACTTCCACATTCACATATAGCTAGGCCATAAACAAACATTTACGTACACATTAAAATGTATCTCGTAGATGCACATTCAGTACATTAGCTGGGCTTTTTGTTATTGTTGCTGATGGACAGATCGGCCGACTTCATCATCGGTGGCCATTAGTCAGCGCAGGCCCCCTTGCCCTTAGCAATCCTTTACTTCATGGCATCTATGAACTTTGATCGCTGATTGATTGGCCAAATGCACTCGAAAATGCAGGCAGCACCTCCATGAACAAACGCGCGTATATCGATGATTTTAATTACTTGAACCGCTGAGCAGTTTGCATATTTCGTTGTCGGTGCAATCGTTGCGTGAACCAGATGTTTTCCCCAGGAATACGGGTGCTGGGAAGGGCTAGGGGTAAAACTGACATGGTTGTAGCAAAGGGGCTTAAAAATCAGACAAAGAATAGGAAGATTTGAGAAGAAAGATATAACGAAGAAGCCAAGAACCTCTAAAATTGTATTTTAGCATTATGCTATATTCATGTAATCTAATAATTGTGAATGTTTTTCTTATTTTCATCTACTAATTGTGAAAGTTTTTCTTGTTTTCATATGTGATTGTTAATTATGTCTTTCTATAAAAATATCAACAAAAAAGGTGAGAATATGTATATAAGGAGGAAAGAATTTATATTCATGGCCCTTGGCTAATCCAAGTTTTTATTGTAGGGAGAAACCTCTTTCTTATAGCAGACTTTTCGAACCAAGGTGGATTGTTAAACCCAATATTTCTATGTCACGGTTCCCAACTTCTAATATTTATTCTTTCTTAAAACTTACATTTCCTTTTCCCCCTACTAAACGATTACATCTACACCCATGGATTTAGGACTGGGGCAGCCAGCTTCCCACTGGCAATCAATCAGCGGGGCACAAATGAGTCTGCGAATGGGTCACAACAATGCATTGCGATCTCCAAGTGGGCAGCAAACGCTTCCGTTTCGTTATCCTCTCGTCTGTCTGTCTGGTTTTACTTTGAAATCGGAAACGCTTCGCATCATTTTTGGACACACCGTTTTGACTTTAACATGGACACGGACACGGTCATCTGCTCGTCTGGGAATGGCTAAGAAAACTTATAAGTAGCAAGCGGGTTAATCATGTTTCAGAAATTTGCAAGGAATTCGTTGGAATAATAAATGTAGATTCTGTTGAGTTATAAAGAAATTTATTTAATCGCTTTTGATTTATTGTTACAAACCAAATTTGATGAAATGAATGAACTTTGAGTTAAGGAAGAGGTTATGAACAGCAATTAATAATGTTTTTACCTTTTATTTAACTTTGCCTTAACATTCCCTTATATGAAATAATCATATAGAAAATAAATTTATTTGCCAACTAATGATTTATTTGTATCAACAAGCAATTAGTCATTAAACCAAGTCATCAGTCAATATTTTTCCTCCTAATGCACTTGAAATTTTCTTTCCCAAAATATATTCCCCTCTGACATAGGATGCCGAATTGAAAAAATTGAAAAATCCAATGAAAACTGAAGGGAAAAGTCGGGTTTTTACAACGTATTCGTTTCACTTACTGCAATTACCGCATAGAATTTCCACTGAACATTGTTTTAGTTCAGCCCCCATAGGAGAAAAGGGAATATATGTCGAGGGAACCACCTTAAGGATCCAGGAAGGGGCATAAAGTGAGTTGGGACACATAGCTACCTAAAAATGGGAGACACAAAACTGTCAACGCCCCCTCTCCCCCTCCCCACCGTTTTCCAATTTTACCACTCTCTTCCTTTTTCGAAAATAATTCCAGGGGATTCATAAAAAGTACTGGAAGAGCGGCTCAAATGACGAGGGGTCATAAATCCCGTAGCTAAATTTAGAACGTGCTGAGGGTGGAGAGGATCACCGCAGGACGAGTGAGATCCCTGCAAGGACGAGGGCCATTGCCATTCCCATTGCCACTTTATTTGTGTGATTTTAACTAACTTATTTTTTTTCGCAAGGCCAATTCCCACACATGGCAATCAATGGCATGTGCTATGCGCCTAAGGACTGCAAATCTTGCTGCGCAGCGAAAAGGACCTCATGCCAGGGGACAAACCGTTTTCTTATTATTTTCCCAACATATGTGTGGGCGAGCGACTCGAGTCGACTCGTAAATGAAATGAAAACAATGCCAGGATGTGCCCGGGTCCTTTGACACGATTTTCCCTGCCCTCGCTGACTCTCTGAGGAAATAGGCGCCGCCGGTCCAAGGGATGTGTGATCTACGATTTATAATGGCCTCTGCCATTCGGATTCATTCATCAGACATACGAAAATGGGCGTTCTGGCAACCAATACTCGAATAAATCAATTGTTCTTAGGTTCCGTCTCTCTCACTCTCTCTGTTCTCTTGGTTTCTCCCTCTCACATATCTATAGTTTACTGCCTTAATTAGATGCGGAAATTCTTTGGAAATTCTGTGTTCGTTATACGACTGTTTCCAGAAAAATAAAATGGTGTTTTGGGCTTATTGATCTTGGCAGCCAGCAAAAAATTCTATTGATTAATCAAATATTTGGACAAACAAGCGAAATATGAACAAATTATTTTTCAATAACATTCACAACAACTTTGTTTCTAAGGATAGTGAGTCTGTCACATTCTTTACAGCATTTTTAAATTAACATTAAAAGAATATTAACATCTTCTGTTTTTAAATATGTACTATATATAATCAAGCAAAATTGTAACAGAATAATATCCTTTATTTATTCTGCCAGTAGCTGGGATGATTAGAAGCTTTAATGGTTTGCTTTAAAGTTTGAAAATATTAGCATAGTTTAGTGTGTTTTAAATTATCAGAAGACCTATTAACCAAAGTAATTTGTTAAGCGTTTTTATTTTCAAAAGCAGAAAAATATATTTATATTTTTTAAAAGCTTTTAGTTTTTTAACAAAATATTTTAAAATTGTAATCTGTAAAGTCTTTGGTGTGCTAAAACGAATATGGAAAGAAATAAAACTTTTATTTATTTCTCGTATAGATATAAGTTTTTTCTGGGATTAACAAAGAATTTAATTTTCACAGTTGGTATAAAAAAGATCACTTGGCAAAGAAACATAACAACATTTTTCGATGTGTGAAGTGATCACAGCAAAGAAAACAATGGCGTTAAGTGGATCATTTTTTGTATCTCCTTCCCTTTTTGTTCTGAAGTATGAAGCCGCATTATCTCTAATAATCTTTATAATGCCTTCAAACACTTCAAAAATGAGGACTTCCCAACCCCACAAACGACAACCTGTCAACATGCATGCGATATGCCAATTTTACCAGATCTAAATACAAATCTAAATTTGTATCTACACAAGCTGTATGCAGATCTTTTAGAAGATCCAAAATAAGCACCGTACAATGTATATGGAGCGGAGAGCACTTTCGAGCACCGAGAGCTGTCATTTAAAAAGCAATTAAGTCAACAACTATGAACGAGAGCGATCGGAGTGAATTCGGGCCTTTGATGAGGAGGAGTCCAGTTCTCCAGGCCCCAAGGCGGCGACTAAATTATCTGACTGAGCTAATTACGAGCATTTTAAGCACGCATTTTGGCGACATAAATACTTTGCTCAGTATATTCGGTGGCTGGTATACTTTGTAAACAGTTTTTATGTTTTTGAACATAAATCAACCGGATGTGGATGTGTTGCTCCATCGCGGGCCCGGGTTGCCTATGTATTCACATATATCGACATCGACGGGCTTCCCATGAGCAGCGAGTATCTATAGGATGCAATGTGTATCTCTCGCAGATACATACAGCCACCGCGTCCGTCCATCCATCTGTCGGCGGAATGACGTTACGCTCTAAGTATGTCGACGTCGCTCCGATTGTCTCCGCTTTATAAGACCATAAGACGAAAAGTCCAAGCCCGGGGACCGACCCCCCCAGCGAAGAAGACATTTTCGCGCCCAATTTAATAGAGGGGACGATCCAAAACCACATCGAAGCGGAGCGAACAGAGAACATGAGAGAAATAATTAAATGCAAAATGGCGTTTTTGGCTTTGTTCATGGCTTTTCTTTGTTTCTTGGCTTGTTTCGTTTTTACAATTAATTTAGTTTAGACTATAAAATTAAATAGGCTTTAATCGTAGGTTTAGGCTTAGACATCTAATCGACACGTATATGGAAAGAGTGACAGAGAATTGAAGAGTGAGAGCGGCCAGGGCTCTGGAATTCACACGATAGTTGCAGCTGGAAGCCCCTTTTGGATCCTTGGCAGGCATATAGTGGCCCGATCCGGTGCTATGCCTTCTGGTGCTGGGCATCGCCCTCCATGCGCCACACCCCGAAGAGGTAACTCAGCTTCTCGGGCGGGATGATGGGTGCTCCGTTGGCCTTGCGCAGGCACTTGAGATCGGCATCGGCTCCATTGGCAGCGGCACTCAGCAAGGAACTGGCCGATCCGTAGGCCGAGGGCGATCCCTGGGCCTCCAAGGCCTTCAGCAGGGATATGTCACTCGAGCTGAGCATGCGGCACAGGAAGTCGATGTATCTGTAAAATAAAGAAAATTACTTGATTAATTTAGGGTGTCGATAAATGAAACTTAAAATCTTAAATTCAGAATGTAATTTATGGGCTTCATAAAAAGTAATGCATATGGGATCAATATCAAATATTTTGCAAAGTCCCTTTTTTATATTAAGATATCCGACAAATACAATTTGATTCATTTTGATTTCATTACTTAAGTAAGTAGTTCTATATAAGTTTTGTGGGCTTTAGTTACCTAAATTATTATTGTTACTGTTCCGTGTTAATCGCGGAAAAACTGTTCATGTGCGTTTAAATCTAATTTATCATATTTTGTTTAATGGAAATTAGTCATAGAAATGTTCGCCTTATAAGTTTGTTTTGCTTCAAGATTCAATATAGACAAGCCTATATATTAAAATTGGGAAATTTTATAACAAGGAAAGTAAATATCCATATGAGGCACCATGTTTGTTAAGTCACGAAACAAGATCTACGTCAAGTAACCAATTTAGCTTAACTGTTAATTCTTCATTCACAATTTATATCAATATCGATTTTTTTTGTACTTTATCTGGACATAAAGTAATGATCAAAAGGACAGTTTTCTTTCGTTCTAAATAAATTGTTTTCCAAAAGATTTAAGGAAAAGTGTTAATGTTTTTTTTTTCAGAATTTAACATTTACCAAATGTCCTTAAAATTATGAATATTCCTTCTGTGAAAGATAAATTACCTTGTGGCCAATTTGAGGGTCTGGATCTTGCTGAGCTTGTCGCTGGGCAGCGTGGGGATGATCTGCTGCAGGGACTTGAAGGCATCGTTCAGGCTCTGTGTGCGCTGGCGTTCCCTCACATTGGCCATCACCCTCTGGTTGCTGAACTCGTCCGTTTCCTCCGACTTGCTGGGCTTCCGCTTCAGCCGGCGACGTGGCTTCCGGAAGGCCTTTCCGCCGGCATCCGATCCATCCAGCAAGCTCCCAGCACTGCCGTCGTCCGCCAGGCAGGCGGGCGACATGACTCCTCCGTTCAGATCGCCCACGGAACTCAGGGCGTTGTGGCGGGCGTACTCCATGTCATCCCGATCGGAGCTGGAATAGGCACTGCCGTTCAGGGAGTTGGCCGGCTCATAGCCCTCGAAACTTTGTCTGTAGGCGTTTTGGAAGTGCATTTGGGCATGATTCGGTTGGTGTTGCTGCTGTTGCTGCTGCTGCTGCGATTGCTGCTGGTTGTTGTAGAGGGGCAGGAAAACCTGAGCCTTGTGCTCGGGCAAATCCTCGTCGGGAAACTCGAAATGGGAGTGCGGGGAGGTGCAGGTGCTCTGGACGCCAGGACAAGATTGGGCCGAGGCTACCTCATCCACAGTGGTGGGTAAGTAGTCCACGTAGATGTGTTGCTGCTGCTGATGTTGCTGCTGTTGCTGATGCTGCTGCTGTTGCTGCTGTTGTTGCTGGTGGATTAGCTTCTTTTGCTCCGGTTGCATGGTCAGAGATCCTCCGGTTTGGCAATCATAGTCGCCACTGCTCCGGGCCCGCTTGCCATGCTCATTCCAGGAGGATCCACCGCCAGTCTGGCCATCGAAAGCACTCTGATTGTTGCCGGAGCTCGTGTTGTTGCTGCTGGTATTGTTGTTGTTCAGCTCCAGGCTGGCGCTTTGGGCACTGTGATTGCTGCTGGTGCTAAGGACCTCGTTGCTGGGTATATTGTAGTCGGTATCCTCCAGTTCCGTGATGCCATAGGCCGCGTATTCCGAGGGCAGTGGCGCGTACTGAGGTTGCTGCTGCTGCTGCTGTTGCTGTTGCTGGTGGGAGTGGGAGTGGAGAAGTTGCTGCTGCTGGTGCTGCAGTTGGTAGCCCGATTGCATATAAGCCTGCTGCTCCACCTGGATCAGTTTGATCACATTGTGCTGCAGCTCCATTATATTGGGCAAGGTGGGCTTGTAGCTAATGTCCAGCAGCACTTTGGGCGACACTGAACGAGCGCTCATCATTTGGTGATCTTTCTAGTTTTTTTTATACACTTCTTGAGTTAGGATATTTAAATATAATATTTTGCAACTTGAGATGTTTTTGTGTAGTTTCACGCCCGCGTTTGCTGTATCGATCTGCTTGCACGCACTGACGGAACGCAACTGACGCACGATCCTTCCGGCCATTGCTCAAATTGACATTTTGCGGCTGCTCGACGGCCATTCGCTGTCGCCGCCCTATCGTTGTCCCGCTCGCGCTCCCCTATGGCCATCTCGCTCCCACCCAATGGCGGAAGCTGCGGCAGCAGGTATGACGTCAAGCGGCGGGCGGGGGATTTCGATGCTCTCGAGCGGCAACGGCGGCTGCAAAATTCTTCTGGACGACTGAAAAAGAGCGCCTTGACTTTCGGTCTGCGCAATGGATTTTACATCGCCCTCTCTTGGGTTATTCTTTGGGTTTTCTCTTCGATCTGGGAAAATATCGGCGAACGGACGCTGGAAAACGGGACGGGGAATATGCCGGCAATTGTCGGCAGTGTTTGAAATATTTCTACTTACTCACGTTGTTGTTTATATCATTGGATATGGATATGGCCTTTTAAAAATTGTGTATAGTTTAGCTGAGCTTAAACTGTAAGACGGCTAACTTTGGTCACAATTAAGTTTTTAAGTCAAAAGATATTCGAATTCATAAAAATTAAAATAATTAATGAAATTGACAATAAATTTAGTTAGCTTTACTTGGCTTTGTTTGTTATACTTTAATATAAAATCAAAATTTCTTTTGTTTTATAAAATTTAAAATTTTTTTATTTTTTCAAAATAATTAATAACTTGTTTCTTCAATATGTAATTTCAATGCCCATTTTGAGTATAAGGAAAGTTCTTAACGTTTAAAAATTAATTTTTAAACTAAACAAATTGTGAAAATTAAGAGAATTCTTGAAACTATATTTGGTTTTGCTTTCATAAATTTTTGAGTTTATTAAATTTTTAACTTGAGAAAAAATAATTAAAAATTTAGTGAGCTCTAAAAGTTTGTAATTAATTTACAAATTTAAAAATAATTATTATATTTTTGGTACCCTCTGAAATCATTAATTAATTATAAAAGTGATACATATTTAAATTTTTAATTAAAAACTCTTTATTTAAATTGAAATAATGTCCAATCACCATTTCTGGTTGTGGGAATTTTAGTTTGTAGGTACTTCGGACATGCTGGAATTTCCAAGGAAACACGTCAAAATGTTTATATGTTAGCCCATCAAAATCATTCCGCTATTATATAATCATCAGTCGCCAACCATCGTAAAGCGTCTAAATCCTCAACCCTAACCGAGGGGAACTCCACAAAAAGGTTTCATTATGCCTAATTAGTAATTCCCACACACACGTACTGAGAAAATTGCAGACCAAACCTCTCGGAGCTCCGAAAATCCAGAAAAATACGAGCGAAAAGTCAAATTTCCGGATATAATTATCTGCCTGCCTGCCGTGGACGCGGCAAAAATACCCGATTAATGCTAGAACTTCCGCTGGAAAAAACCGCGATCGCCGATCGCCGGCTTAGGTAATAGTGAAACTCCAGGACAAGAAATCGTCCCCTCAGAAAAACCACCAACAGGGTTTTGCCCTGCCCTTAAGCTACCTGGACCTTAAGAGCTTCAAAATGATATCCAATATTATTTACTGTAATAATTAAAATTTAAATAATTTTAATAATTTTTTAATTAATTAGTTTTAATTTTAGTAACCCACATTCTGCAAGTTTGCCATAATTTTTAATTGTATATGGAAAATTGGCAGCTTATTAAATAAATCAAACAACTTTTAAAATATTATAACGCTTTGACTTTTTCCTATTGGACGTGGATAAAAAAATTAATAATTTTATATATTTTCTGTATATTCCATTATTTACACTACTTTATGTTGCCAAAAATAAGTTGTTTGGGACACGCCCTAAAGAGGTGGTGTATTTTTTATGGACCTCTAAAAACTGGTAAGAAATTGGGGAAAAAGCATTGCATAATTTTCGGATAAAAAAATAAAATTTCTTTTGTGGCTGAAAACTTCAAGCAGCTCCTAAAAGTACGCATAGCAAAACACAAGAATGGTTGCAAAAATAGGTTTTGCTCTGTGCAATTGACTTAAAAAATGACAACATCATATATAACACGTTGTATTTGAAATTGAAAAGTTAAAAAAATTTGTTCATTAAATTCTTTAAAAACAATATTCTATGACCAACTTCTTGCGAAACTCTGTTGGTAGATGGCGCCACACGCTATTGTAACGAAGATGTAGATCCAATACAACCGCTCAAAATGATCTTAATGTTCCAATTGGACACGCTGCAGTCACGTAGTTTATTGATTTCAATTCCGTTTACGAACCCAAATCAAACGAAAAAAGGCCAAATGGGAGAGAAGCTGGAAAAGGTATTTTGCGTATTACTTTTTTTTGCGATGCTGCTTCTGTTTTTCATCTCTTGTCGTTTTTTTCTGGCTTTGCGTGGTGCGATTGCCAAACGATTTTCAAACGGACCAACTTTCCATTTTGACAATGCTCTAATCCTGCCATCGCAAAAACCATGTGTGTGGCAGTGTGCGGAGCGTGAGAAGAAACTTTTGGTGCACGTAAATCTCGCTCGACAATCAATTAAAATTAAAATATTTTTTGCCTGCCGAGAGCGCAAGCGTTGTCTACATATTCGAATTGACTTTTGATGATGTATCACGATTTATTGTTACCAAAAATGGTCGTCAAAGCGCGTGGAAAAGTGGATCAGGTAGTCTGGCGACGTCTAACGGTTGTGTTAGTGGGATAAAACGGGGCGGTGAGCGGTCTGCAGGCAAACTCCCACAGCTTTTGCTCTTACAGTGCAAGCCCCATATATTGAACATATTTTAATTTAACTGAATTTTGTTTCTAGAATGTATGTACTTTTATATCCGTACTGAAAAAAATGTATCGCCTTATAAAGAAAAATAAGCTATCTATTATCCAAATCGGCTAAGCTGAAGTGGAGATATAAAATAAAATGGGCATACAAACAGGTTAAAAATATTTCTGAATTAAAAATTTTTTTCTGAATTAGGGAGTTCTACTGTATTGGAAAATCAAGGCTTGATGTCTGGAGGATTTAGTCGAATTAAATTTGTAAGCTAGTGCTAATAACGAGTTTCTTAATACATTATGTTGTCAAGTTAATTAATAATTCATTTGCCAACTCAAAATCTAGTGAATTCAAAATGACGCTACACCATTTATTAAATAAAACTTTTAAATCTTATACAGGCTTTTTAGAAAAGTTAAAGTTAGGGCATATATTTCATATATATAACTAAAGCTGATTCGTTTTACTCCTTTAAATTGCTATAAGTCTAAATTTTTAAAGAATAAGTCAAGTTCAAATTATTTCCTAGGTCTTAAGCTCGCCAAATAATCAGTTTAAATTAGCGTAAGTTGTTTTGACAGTGAACAAGTGCAGGCAAATTACAATTTTTATTAAAAAAAGGAGCTGTTTTAAAACATAATCATATAGTCAAACTTTCATAGCTCGAACACCATTTTCAATCAAAATAAGATTGTAGTTCTTAAATCACAACGAATGTTTATTATGCTTTAGTCTGCAAAAGAGTTCACAATGATTTCAGTAAGTCAAGGTTCTAAATTTTGGGTTTCTATAATTAGCCAGTGCTGACTGGTCTTTCGACTGTGAGTACGTAACTTAAGAAAATCCCGTGCGATTAGACAACAAAACTGCTTGATGGAAACTGCGGCAGCTGTCAGCTCCAAAATGTATCTTGTGTTTGTGTTAATTGTCCCCACTCTCCTAACCCACCTGCCGCACCCCCACCCCCTCCAGCCAGGCCGACAGCCAATGAAATCGCTGGCGCCAAACACCTACACTTTGAGCTTGTCAAACGGCGTGTGTGTGTGCTGCATGTTAATTAACAGCCGGCACAAACACACACACACACCTACACAAATGGCAAAAAGGCACTCAAAAACACACACACTGGCGAACTTGGGTGGGGGCTTTTACACACACTGGCGAACGAATGTTGGCCACCCAATAATATAAGCGCCAACTTGTCATTTTAGCCTAGCTCCACCTTAACTAAACAAACAAACAAAGTGGTGCACAAACACACTCACACGCTCGCGAATGCGTGTGAGGTGGTGTGGTGAGTTCGGGGCGCCAAGCTCACCACGCTCTGGGGAGCCAAAGTTGGCGGTTGAAATTCGAAGAGCTCAGAGCAAGTTTGCTCCGCGCCGCGTTCGAATGTGCTTCGGTGGGAAACGCTTCCTTTTGCTTTTTTATTTTTAAATTTAAACTGAGTTATCTGACACAACGAACTAATTAGGAAAAATAATAATAAAGGAGAAAAAAAGAAGTAATAAGAATATAAACAAAATCTCAGTTGACACATATTTGTATGCGTTCCATTTCGTTTCGTTCCGTTGCGCTTCCTAACCGGCGTTTTCTGCGCATGCGTGCGTGCGTGCACTGCGTGCTGCATTATAGTGTGTGTGTTGGTGCGACGCTTTAAATGGCGTTTTAAGTGAAATTAAAATGACGGATGTGCTGTAATTTGCACACTCACGCTCGCTCAATAAATACAACAACTAAAGCTACAACCACGACAACAACGAATAAAACCAAGAATCAAGAGGAATAAATAATAACAACACACGCTGTTTGGTGGTCGGGGCGTTGTTTTGTAGCATGTGCCTTAGTTGATCGAATTAAGTGCGAGTTTTATAGCGCCCGCGGGACCGGGAACTGCAATTGACTGCCGGCCGACTGAGCAGCCGGAAATGCAAGCCCAGGCCCCACAACAACACCAACGACAACAACAAACATAGCAACAACAAGTGTAACACCCCCGCCCAGGAAACGGCGGCAATAAGTGCTAATAAGTGAGCCACAGACTATAACTAAAACCGGATGCAGGGCCACTAGTAATTGCCAATTTTAGTTATATCTTGTTGTTTTTTTTCTCTTGTCTCGTTCAATTGGAAAAATCAGTTGGTTTTTTTCGGTTTTTTTTGTTGTATTATTTAGTCATGCTTAGGCGACTCATAATATATTTGCCTAAGTAACTTCGTCACGCACTGCGCATTGCATTCGTTACCCCTCAAAATGCGGCTTTTGCCTCTGAAACGGTGGCCCCCCTCACAAAAAAGGGTCGCCCCTCGCCACCGGAACGCAAGTTAAAGCCATAAACAAGGAAAAATAAAGAATCACAAAAAAAGGGGTAACGAAAACAACAACAACAACAACAAAAACTCAAGGTGCGTTGCACTCGTTTTGTCATTGATTCCGCGGATGCGAAATAGCATGCGGCAGTTGCAAAAAAAAGCACAGGCAACAGCTGCTGCGACAAAAGCCAGGCCAAAAGCAAAAGCCAAAACCAAAACAGCGATTATTTCAAGCATCCGCCTCCACTTTCCCGCCCCGCCTTGCAAGAAACCCTTGCTGCCTGTCTTTTGTTACAACGTGGCCAGAACGTTGCCGGGCAATTATTATTTTGTAAGACGTTTTACAATTTAATGGTTTTCATGGTAAGTACAACGACGCCGACGCCAACGCCAACGCCATATGCCATGTGCTCCCCTTTCTTGGCCACTTCGTCGACCTCTTCGACCCTGTCAGCTGAAAGTTTGTTTTGGTGACTCGAGGGTTACGGGGTCAGGGGTTCACGAGGGGTCACGGGGAGAGCCGCGGCTGACACCAACCACAACCTGTTGCATTTAAAAGGGGAAAAGCGCTTAATTCCCTGTTTCTGCTTCTCTTTGCAGAATGGACTTGGATCCGACCCTCTGTCAGCAAAGGAGGTGAGTTTGCGGATTACCTCCGATTGTAGTGATAAGAATTGGGTGAAGAAGAGTGGTTAGGGAAAAACAACATTAAACAAAGTGTTATCAAGTTGTATTTTCTTTACATTTAGATTGACCTTTTAGAATCAATAGTTAGTCCCAAAATAATATTGATAACTCTATATCTATTTATTTTGAGAGCTGGCATATGTATTATTAAATAAACAAATAAAAGTTTCTTCTCTCAATAATTTATATACATAACTTTATGTGGCAAGTTAAAATTTTACTTTTATTGTATATTGACAAACAATAACTCAAACCAAAAATATGAATTTTAAATTATTATGATCTTTTCGATATATATATATACATATTATCTATTGAAAAAAAAGTAATTAATCTATAAAAAAGAGATTAAATGAATATTTAACAGACACTTAATATGCATGGGCGTCATAACAGTTAAGTTAAGGTAAAGCTCATAAAAGCAAACGCGCTAAACATAAATTTTATAATGAAAAATGAAAGCTATTCCTAAATGTAATTATGCCAGAGTTTACTTTATTTCGATGCAATTCTCGTTGTCCCTAAGTAATTGTTATTGGCTGTAATTTGTCTTCAATATCAGTTAAACACAACTCATTAAGGCCCATAAGTTTCATGCGCAACAATTATCGCCTGAAAACCTCTATCAATTAGGCCCGAACAGAGTGAAATATTTTCATGTTAGCGATACACTTCGGGCCATTCGAAATGACAATTGCGAAGGAATTCCCAGTGGGCCAATTCGTTTGGATGCCGCATAAAACCCATCCCATTCCATCCCATCCGTCTGCCTCAAAGGCAAACGCCGTCAGCCGAGGACAGCCAGTAGCGGCAGCAGAAAACCACATACCAAGCGTAAGACAATCCATAAAATTGAGTTCCATTGGTGCTACTGGCAGGGGGAAATCGGAGCCAACTAATGTCCCAACCATCATTCTATCAATTGCGGCGCCTATGAGAAATTTCAGCACGTCCCAACACAAATTAGCAGATCGGAGGCTGCAGCGCCCCATAACAATATCATAAAGAAGCCAGTGGAGGGCGGGGGATATCTATATAACAATAAATCAGCGCGGGCAATTAGAGGGAAAAAGTAAACGGGGGCCAAGAAATATAAATACATAAATACCTTCGGACAGGGGCCAACATCAGTCGCATATCAATTGCAATCTCCAGCGACGATCGCCGTCTCCCATCTAGATTTCGATCTGGATCTGGATCTCGATCCAGATTTCGATCTACTGCTGCTCCTACTGCTGTTGCTGGCCAATGAAGTTGTTGTCAATGTTGTGGGCCACGATGTGGACAAAAAGCCAAAAAGCCAGAGAGACGTCGCAATTGGTCCCGCGGCTGCCATTCGACACAATCGAAGACAAACTATCTAATCTAATGCTGGCAATGAGCATTTGTTTGTATAAATAACTGCATGGCAGTAACTGGCGACAGCGGTAACCAACTGCTCAAATCGCGTGGCCAAGTTCTGGGTTCTGCAATCCCCTTCCCCTCCCCCATGAAAAACCCCCATGTCACCATCTTTTCGCCCACTCGCCACTGACATTTTTTCATAATTTGCGCTACAAGCCTGACAATTGTCGTTGTTGCCCACTGGGCACACACTCTGCATCCATGGATCTTGGCTTCGTTGTTCGCCGTCTTGGTTGTTCGTTGTTGCTGCTGTTGCTGGTGTTGCTGGCTGTGTTCGCAACCATGTTGTTGGCATCAGGCTGGATGGCTACCCTGCAAGTGGAATAGGTTTAGTTGTTGGGTTAACCAAGTTGACGGGTTAAAAAGAAAACTTAAAAGGTTAAGTCCCTAGAAATAGTTATATCAGCAGTACATATGTTAATATGATACTTAAGAAAATATAAGGTTTTATGTAGTCAAAAGGGTAAATCTTTAAAAAATTTATCAACGTAAAAAAAATTTTAAAAAAATTGAAAATAAAAGACCATTGATGGGACTAATGGAATGCTTCCTCCAACCTGCTTGCTTTCAGAAACATCAGATACTCCTTCCGTCTATCTATGCATATTGCTTTCAAGTTTTATAAAACCGCTTTTTATCTTATAATTAATCATTAACCGACTCAGTTAGCAGATTTCACATTATTTTGTTATACAAATGTGTTTTGTTAGTTTTTTAGTTCGGATACTAGGCTTGTCTTACTTTTAAAAATAAAGTAAAGAATTGTTTTAATAACATATGCCAGTATACTAAGCTAATAGTTTTTTAACGGAGCAATTAACTAAACTTTGAAGAACTTTAAAGTTGTACATTCTGTTTTAAACAGAGCGAACACTTTAAAACTTTAAATACCTTGCTAACGTTAAAAAGTACTTGTACATTTTTAACCTGCATAATTACAAAATCGCTGGGGATTTAAACCTATTGTGAGTGCCCACAAAGAGCTTATGGTAACCCATGGTCTGAAACACCCTTTAAATTTATTGTAAACCTCGTTTAAATTATATTGCAAAGTGTTGGCACCCACCTCCTCCCCCTCGCTGAAATGCATATGCAGTGCCAAATTAAAATTTATCCATTTTATGGCGCTGCGGGCAGCTCATAACTGTTTCTTTGTTATTTTTGCGGCGATTATTATTTTTTTTTTTGGTTTTTATTGCCGTTAGTTTATTGGCTAAAGATTTCGTAAGCGCATGAAATGCGCAACAATTGTGGTTTTTCGGTTTCTTCCCACTTATCTGCCCCGATCTCCCATATGGAGTAAGAAAGATATCGACGGAAGTCATTTGCGGTTGTTCCAGGTAGATGAATTCAATAAGCAAACAGCTCCCAAACACGCACACTCCACTTTGCCCGGCTCTCCGTCTTCCCAAACCACTTTTAAAACCCCCCATGGACTAAGTTCTTTCCCGCAGTTTGCCCATCCAACACTTTCGCCCATCAACAACATTTTGTCAAACTTGATTAGAGGGAAGCAGCGCTTATGACTCTATTGTTCAGCTGCATATATAATAGGCCATATTAAGCCACCACTCCCCCGACACCCGCCGATAAACAATATTGATGACGATGCTGATAATCTTTTATTTCTTTCCGATCCACAGGCAGAGGGCCCTCCGGTTCAGGTTGAACCAGTTGATTTGAGCTTACGTTCGCCGCGCGGTAAGTTGCTAATTATACGCTATCTTAGTTGACTCAACCTGAGCTCGTATGTATTATACTGACTGGGCCGAAAACAATTAATCAATGAAATGGCCGTCACAAGTTGATCACTTGAAAAAAGCAGGTCACAGCGAGAGAAAGAATATCGAACGGCTAGGAAAAAATGGGGTACAAAACTAATTTGCATTTCTTTTATAATGACGTTAAACTTCTTTTGGACATGGAGTGCCTAAAATATTTAATTTTTTGAAAACCGATGGTGGGTGGAGTGAGGGGTAAAAAGAAGAGCACGCATATGCAAATTTTGATGTGGGATACGTACAAATAAATAATAAGTATTTGGTTTTATTAACAGTAAACTAGTAGAAAAAAATTATATAATTTAAGTTAAACAGGATTTCCATGAAGAAAACTGAAAATTGGCTTCAAGTGGCTTAAATTGTAAGCTGTCAATTAATCTAAAAATTAAAAAGAACAAAAAACCTCGAGAAATTAAGAAGCTTAATTAAAAATTAATCAAAAATGATATAATATCGACATAAACAATGCCAAATACCTCGGTCTTAATCTGTGATACTCAATCAGACCATAAAAAAGATATTCTTGATCGGCAACAAATGATGAACAAACAATCTAGTCGATAAGTAAAAGCGTAACTCGTTTGGAACAATTCAGAGATCTGTGTTAAAGATATCTATCAGCATTTATATCAACCCATGATCACACTCCCCCCATAAAAGTCCCAAACACTAAATTCCTTAGATCTCCTACGGCTTTCCCGCACACCCCGCCGATCTGAGGCCGAGATTATCCGGCAATCTCGCAGACAAGTTCAAACAATAGAGGAGACAAAACGTTAGTCATTGCCTAATGCTCATCAGGCGGAGCCATTCATACGTGAAAGAGCCCGAGCCCGAGTCCGAGTCCGATGAGTATCGCCGTGTGATCATCAGTAGATCGGCTATGGGCCCATTAAGTTCATGCTGATTCCGCTGCGAGTATCGCTCCATATCCGACGCCCAGGAACCTGACCCAAACAAGTGGCTGTGGATTCGGTCGGGGCTTCTCTGTGTTGGTTTACCATTGCCCACTTGACCGATCGAGCGAACGACCAACCACCAACTGTTTGACCATTTGACCTTTGCCAGCCTTTCTCTTTGCCTCAATGTGTGTTTGAGTGTGTGTGTGTGTGTGGTTGTGTGTGTGAAGTTAACAGCAACGCCCCGAAAAACCGAAAAAGCCACAAAAAGTTGACTAGATAAATAGATGGTTAGTTATACGGCCATCTACTCGCATCTCCTCAGCCGTAGGGTGCCCAGCGGTACACCTAATTTAATTAAGAAGCCAGAGAGCTTACCTTAAATGGCTATACAGTAAGATTAACAGCTAAAAACCTGAGCGCTGCTCCGTTCATTAAAGATAGCCAAGCTGAGGCCGAAGTCAAAAAGTTGTTGTCTCGCCGCGCATATTAATCAATTAGGTATGATATTAGTGAGGGCATCATTAATTTTGTCAATGCGCTCACCTGACCACGAAAGCTATTTGAGAAGCGCATAGAGAGGCGGCGACGGCAATCTCTCATGCTAATGGTTTACGGCGTGCTACCACCAATCTACCGATCCAACGATCCACAGATCCGTGGCGAATGTGTTAAATAGCGTTAAAATTTGTAAAACAAACGGCACATAATGGTCCGGGTTAATTTCTAGCCTTAACGGTCATCCCATCCCATGCCACCCGAGCCGAGCTGAGCCGAGTCGAGATTTTTCGGCACACATAAATTATGGGCTTTAAATAATTATGCAATTAGCCAGCGTAGCGATAGATAGCCCCAAATTGCCAATGAATGGAGGGCAAAGCCAAAGGCCCCAGAACGGCGGAGACAGTGCCAAATTCCCACCAACTCTAATTGCAGTACCAGTACCCGGGAGAGGTGAGACCTGGCTGGGGCTTCGTCCACAGCAACGGCAACTGCATCTACAACTTGATTTATTTAAGCTACCCAAACAGCCCATAAATAAAGCTGTTGAACTAGCCACCATTCCGGGAGCGGAGCGAAGGGACCGGGCAGAAGGGTGGAGCCAGGAGAGTCTCTGAGCCTGGGACATCCACGTTGCCTTACCCAAAAAAACCGAGGAAAACACAGCGCAACAACGTACAATCCCACACCACCGGAGCCACTGCTTCAGTGCCGCACCACTCAGCCCCCAAAACGATCGGCCTCTCGCCACTCAGGGGCATAGGCTTTCCAGGTTAAGTAGATGCGGCGACACGCGGGTCGATCCAGCGAGCGAACGACCTTAAGACGGAGATCCCAACCCGAATCGGGCTGGGTGGAGCGTGGTGGCGGGGTGACGGGGGACAAGGCGACGATGTCGGAGCATCCACGGCTGCTATCGAATGATATGCAACATTTAGTGAAGTGCTCGAGTACCAAGCATGTTCCGATGGGTCGGGGCATATTGATGGCAAGGTGAAAATGTGACTGGCAGGTGGGCGCAGGGAAAGAATCGTGATTGTATCTGTAAAATATTATATTTTCGATTACAACTTTTTGGTTACCAAAGTTAAGGTGGCAATTTAAAGTCTGTAAATCAAACTAAGACTACCGAATAATATTATCATAACTCATGCCATTCGTGACTTTGCCAGATAAGTTTTGTCAAACTACTTTAGGATTTCATTTTAATAAGTCATTTCCAGAAAATCATTTTATTATTCAATGCGATAGGACAGCAAAAGACCTTCAGGTGTCAGTGGCCTTCTACCTAATTTCTATAAGGCAATCTCTAGTCTCGATGATCTTCCACCCTTATTTGTATTTCCAATGCATATGTTCTCTGAGTTTGTATGAATCTTAATTAAATTATCTCTCCCACGATCATTGTTCCTAAGCAGATCCTAGTTTTCGCTTTACTTGGACATTGTTTTACAGAGAATCTTGTGGTCTAATAACGCCAACCCACTGAACTTGTGTTACCGTTGCTGCACTTCGTCGGTTCGGGGATCTGCTGATTTGGCAATTGCATCTGCTGCTCCCTCAGCGATAGTCAACTGAAGCCACATCTCATAATCGCTGGCGGCTCCCAGCGACCTGGAGAGTGGCCTCGCCCAGATCCACCAGATCCAACAGATCCAACAGATCCCCCAATCCCAGATCCCAGATCCCATATACCCGAAGCCAGGCCCGCACATTGCGATTCCACAAAAAAAAGAGGGGAGATACTCACATCCAGCGGAGGGGCGTGTGGAGCGTGGTGATTGTTTTTTAATTATGCTTCGGCTGACACCCGGGCGGATGACCACTGAAGATGGGCTGGGATCTGAGGAGCGCGGTCTGCAAATGAAAACTGAAACTGGGTGGAGACGTCGAGCCGTGTCTCTGGGCCTGGTTAACATGGCGCGTATGTAGCGCATCGAGTTGACTTGACTTGACTTGACTGAGTGACTGTGACTGGCTTTTGAGGTTATGTGAAAGGTCAAGTTCGTGATCGCATTCAAACATTTTTGCCAACCACTCATCTCGCTGCGCAGATCGGGCCCACAGACCAGGGCCCATAGACCAGGCCCAGACCCAGGCCGAGAGACTGAGGAACTGGGGAACTGAGACAGGGACTGAGACCGCGACTGAGACTGAGACTGAGACTGAGACTTCGACCCGGGAGTAGAGTGCAGGGAACACGAGTGTGAGCCGCCGCCGCAGCCGAAAAAAAATAAAAAGAGGAGAGAGACGAAATACCCGACCCAAGCGACGTCGCATCGTAGAAAAATTGAAGATGAGCGTGCCACCACCACGCCACGATTCTGCCATTCCCGTCTCTGTCCCTGTCTCTGTCTCTGTGGACCCCATCCCCATCCCGGTAACCATCCCGGTACCCATCCCGGTACCCATCCCCATGCCCATACTCATACCCCATCGCAATCCCCATCTGCCGCTGATCCCACCGCCATATCCCGCCGCCCTCGCCGGAACCGAATTGAGTGAATGTAAACTGTGGTTTACTTGTTTCCAGCGTTGTCATAGTAATTTTTCTGCACTATAACAACGGCCAGCGTCGCCTCCAACAACATCGAAATATACACTTGGGGAAACACTTACGCCAAAATAGCTTCAATCATGTTCTGTTTTGACAGTGTGACAGTTTGTTTTTAAATATTTTAACCCAGCCCATTTTAGAACTGATATTTATTTTTTTATTTTTTTTTAATATTTAAAGTTGACATGAAACATAATATTTATTATGTTTTTTCATTAATGCACTCATATCAATAGCAGAAAACTATTTTACAAAATAAAGCTATCTTATCTTACTAGCACTTTCTCTCTGTGTACAAACTTTGGGGTGCTCTCGGATGTTCGGTGGCAGCACTCACCCGAAAACATTGAAACAAGCGGAGAAAAATGGAGATGCTGATGACACTGGAGACACGTTGTCTCTGGCAATCGTGCAACTGACACACCACCACCACCGACGGCACCACCAGCACCGCTATTGCCACTATACCACTATACTGTACCACCAGTACCACTGGCAACAAAACGCTAGACAGCATATGCCACACGAAGTTTTGAAAAGATTACACTGGACAACAGGCGACGCGGATGGGGTGCGGCCAGATGGAATTTCTGGGAGGGAAGGGGTGTGACCCGTGGAAGATGATTTGGCAATTGTAATTGAAAGTTTATGCAAAGAGTAATTTAAAACTCGCTGGGAGGGGACAATTCACTGAGGAAACTTCAGGAGCTGGATAATGTCTGAATGTTTGGTATTTCTTAAACTAAAAACTATTAGCCAAACTCAGGCTTTTTAGACCTTGAGAGAATTTAAGTTTGTGTTATTTTTCCATTCTCAATCATCTGAATTAAAATAACCGTAATTATTTTCAAACGTTTATTTTTCTTATCTTATCTGCTCACTAAATTACAGTAAATAATTATTGATCAAATAAAAATAAGAAATGAACAGACAAAAGACTTAAATTCTTTAAGAAATATTACA